CTTTTTCTTGAGAGAGAGAGTTACAGTCTTTCTCTCTCACCCAGGTGATCACAAGCCTCAAAGTTTTGGGCTCAAGCACTCTTCCATCTCAGTCTCCTGAGTATTTGGAACTACAAGTGCACCATCAGGCCCAGCTAATTTTCTTCTAATTATTTATAGAGATAGGATCTCCTGGCTGGTCTTAAACTCCTGGCCACCAGTGATCCTTGCGCTTCGGCCTCCCAGAGTGCTGGGATTACATTTTGGAGGGCCTACATGTCCAGCCTGACCTTTAATTTTTTAATTTGCAAAACATCTAGGGGACAGTGCTGCTTCAGAACAGTTTTGTTGTCTACCTTAGTCTTCATTGAAATGGCCACACATTTTCAGAAGGCTTTTTTTTTTTTAGATATAGAGTCTTTGTTGCCCTCAGTAGAGTGCTGTGGCATCAGGCTCACAGTAACCTCCAACTCTTGGGCTTAAGTGATTCTCTTGCCTCAGCCTCCCAAGTAGCTGGGATTACAGGCACCTGTCACAACACCCAGCTATTTTTTAATTGTGGTGGTCGTTGTTTAGCTGGCCCGGGTCAGATTCAAACCCGCCAGCCTGGGTATATGTGGCTGGTGCCCTACCACCCAGAAGGCTTATTTTGATGTAAATAATAAAAGTGTTCCTGGCTCGGCGCCTATAGCTCACTGACGAGGGCCCCGGCCACATACACTGGAGCTGGTGGGTTCGAACCTAACCCAGGCCTGCTAAACAACAATGACAACTACAATAAGAAGATAGCTAGGTGTTGTGGTGGGCACCTGTAGTCCCAGCTACTTGGGAAGCTGAGGCAAGAGAATTGCTTAAGCCCAAGAGTTGGGGTTGCTGTGAGCTGTGACGTCATGGCAGTCTACTGAGGGCGACATAGTGAGACTCTGTCTCAGAAAAGAAAAAGTGTTGCTGTAAAAAGGGTCCCATGTGCATGGTTAAGTTCAGTGACCTTGGCCTGGGCCCAGTGGCTCACGCCTGTAATCCTAGCTCTCTGAGAGGCCCAGGCCGGCAGATCACCTGAGCTAGAGTGAGACCCTGTCTCAAAAAAAAGAAAATAGCTGAGTATTGTGGTGAGCACTTGTAGTCCCAGCTACTTGGGAGTTTGAGGCAAGAGAATCACGTGAGCCTGAGTCTGAGGTTCCTGTGAGCTATGATGCCACAGGACTCTACCGTAAAGGGTGACATAGTGAGACTCTATCTCGAAAAAAAAGTTTGGTGACCTTGCTGGTGTTGCTCCTTCCCACAAACCCCACACCACCCCCCCCCAAACCTCCCCACTGTACCCTCCCACCCCCTAACAGGTTCCAGCCCTCAGGTGTTTAGCTGCTGGCTCCTGTCGGATTAGGAGCCAGCAACAAGACAGTTGGTTGCCTGGAGCTGTGGGAGGAATTCTCCTTGAGCCTTACAGTGGCCACTCGCAGAGCTGTCCTCTACCCAGAGCTATGAACCCATAAAGGGGAGGATTTCATGATGTGGGGAAGTCACAGAATTTGAAAAAAGAAAAGAACTTCCCTGACCCTATTCCACAGGCACCTATGTGCATACACTGACATGCGCACAGAGTATGAGGAAAGAGTTTTCCCAGGGAGAGCTAAAGATATAAAAGCACCTACAAAGTGCTTTGACTACAAAGGAGGACTTGGAAGAAGCATCCTTCACTTCAAATGTGGGAAATTTCCAGGTGTTGTGGCCATCTATAGGCCCAGTTACTGGGGAGCCCGAGGCAGAAGGATTGCTTCAGTCCAGGAGTTTAAATCCAGCCTGGGCGAAACAGCAAGATCCCATCGCTCGAATGGGACGAAATAAAAGGTGGGGGCAACAACTACATAGGACCCCCCCCCCAACACATATACACGTACAACACACAGTAGGAGGAATGGGGGCCATTGACTGGCACCTCAGAGCCTCTGAGTTGATTCCCTACAGAGCAGGGGGTCTCACCCCTTCCATACAGAATTTTTTTTTTTTTTTAACTCATGGTTTTGACCTGTGTGGGTATCCCAGCCTTGAGCACCTCCAGCAGCAGCACAGATAGGGAAGGGACCTAGTGAACAATGTGAGCAAATATCTGAGCAGTCCCTCGTCCCCAGCAACCCTTCTGTGTGGCCATCTGTCTGCACTGAACTTGACCAGAACACTGTGTTCTCTGTCCGCTAGGTTCTCCCCTATGGGTGTAGATCACATGAGTGGGCTTTCTGGTGTCAATGTCCCAGGAAACGCTTCTTCGGGCTGGTGCATCTTCATCTACAACCTTGGCCAAGATGCCGACGAGGGGATCCTCTGGCAGATGTTTGGCCCCTTTGGCGCTGTCACCAATGTGAAAGTGATTCGCGATTTCAACACCAACAAGTGCAAAGGGTTTGGCTTTGTGACCATGACAAACTATGAAGAAGCTGCGATGGCCATAGCCAGTCTGAACGGCTACCGCCTGGGGGACAAAATCTTACAGGTTTCCTTCAAAACCAACAAGTCCCACAAATAACTCGCTCATGCTTTTTTTGTACGGAATAGATAATTAAGAGTGAAGAAGTTGAAACTTTTTTTGTTAGTGTACAACTCATTTTGCGCCAATTTTCACAAGTGTTTGTCTTAGTCTGAATGAGAAGTGAGAAGGTTTTTATACTCTGGGATGCAACTGACATGTTCAAATGTTTGAAATCCCACAATGTTAGACCAATTTTACGTTTCGTAAGTTATTTCCTTTAAGATATATATTAAACAGAAACCTAACTAGACTGCATTGACTAACCAGTCCCTCTGGATGGTGGTGAAACTGAAGCATGCTTTAACTTCTAAGACTGTCTAACACTCGTTTCATTTGATGTCTCCACAAACTGGATAAACAAAAAAAGTGATCTTTTAGTTTTTAGTTTTTAATCTAAAGATGTTAGACAGATGCTGAGTGTGTGTTTTCTCAACCGCTTCAACATTTTAAGCAATTTGTGCTTTGGTTGACAGAAAATTGCTTTCCCAAGCAGGTCCCATTGCCACCCACTGCTCGCTAAGCCTCGGGCTCTGCCGAGTGGTCCTGGGAGTGGCAGCGGGCCCGTCCATTGTGAGCCACCACCGGGGAGGGGGGTTGCATGCCGGGCCGGGCCCTCCAGAAAAGGACACAGTTGTGTTTCATAAGCCCAGGCATCAATGGGAACGGACCAAAGAGTTTCAGGGAAACTCCAGTATATTCCAGAGTCAGATCGAAGCTCCAGGCACGCCTAAAGATGTGTTGCTACTCACATCTGAATTTCTGTCCACACATTGCATGCACAGTGCCCCACACATCGGATACTGTTCTCAATACTTTCTCCAGTTTCCAAGAGCTTTTAACATAGCTTGAAGGCGTAAGATAGCTCTGTTTTTTAATAACACATAAAACATTTGAGCATTGTATTTCTCGCATCCCTTCTTGTGAGCGCTAGACTTTTTTCTATTTTAGTCGGATTTTGTTTTGGAATTTTGCTTTCATATGAACACTCAGCAGAAAAGTACTTCTTGCCAGTTATCTATTAACAAAAACCTTTGATTTGTAGTTTTAAAAATTAACCCTCAAACATTCTCTTCATAACTGCCTTGACATTTTGGGTTGTTCTGTTCTGTTAATTTTCTTTTGCTTTTTTGTGTTTTTTGTTTGTTTTTACTTTTGCATTTAAGACCATTAAATTTGATTTTGTTTTGCTCGAATTTTGTTTTGTTTTTTATTTTACCTTTTCTTTCTTTTGGGCTAGGTAAGGTACAGACGGCCCCACATTCAGGGAGGACTCATAAGATCTTAAGAAACAAATACTTGCCTCAAGAAAAAGCATTTCTGAATCTGTGACAAAGGAACACACAGTCAGAGATCAGTGGTTCTCAGACTGGGAGCTGGTAGGAAGAGTGCAAGAGAGGGCCTGTGCAGTAGGCAGGGCCCGGTCTCCTAAAACTCTTCAGGACTGTGGTCTGATTTTTATAAATAACTTGTGTACAGAGAGAATTAAAAACAGGATAAGTTAGTACCAGCAGTTTTTAACCTTGACATGAGACTAAAACATGTAATGATAGGCTAATTTTTAGTTATTGATATCATGGAATGGCGGCATTATTTATCTATCTATCTATTTATTTATTTATCTATTTATTTAAGTGGAAAAATGGGCCATAGGCACAGCCGTCTCCAGAACAGGTCAGTGTCTCCAGAAGCTCTTGGGTGATTTGAGGCCACTGTCCTCATCCCCTGTCCCTGACCCGTCACTGAGGGGCTGTTGTCATCCTCACAAATTGAGGATGTTGCCATCCACACCAGACCATGTCTCATCAAAGTCAGCCAAGTGCCACAGGGGATCTCCCTTCTCCAGTAGAAGTTCCAGATCCTCAGTAAAAGCCAGCCTGTGGGGCATCCCTCTGGAACCTAAAACCAATGCCCATTTGCCTGGATTTGACACAAAAGAGGGTCCCTGCTCTGTCACCCAGAGCACTCTTCACCCTCAGACCAGAATGTTTTCCTGGAAAAATATGCCCTTCAGGGTCACTGAGGCCAGCATCTTCTGAGTGAAGGTGGGATTCCCAGTTCTAAAATTTACCCTCAGTCTCCGCATTCCCACACATTCCTGCCTGCCCTAGAGAGTGTTTGACAGAGAATTCTGCCTTACACTTCAAATGTGAAAATGATGGTGAGCTTCTAGCTAGCACCTCAGCTTCCTCCCTCCCCTCCCTCTGTTTCAACTCTGTTGATTATTCTAATGCTGGGAAAGATGAGAAGGAGATGTGAAGTATTATCAACCTTTGAAAATTACATGAAGTTTCTCAATTCAGTAAAATACTCATTTTATGTAATCTCCACTGTTGGAACAGCCTTCTAGCTAAAAGTCCCAATGCATTTCTATGGAAGTTTTAATTCACAAGTTTGTGAAAGGAATTAGCTTTTGAAATGTCACTCCTGAAAAGCAGTCTTCACTCCAATCCAGGTATTCGATGCTGGCCCTATGCTTGTAAAAGCTCATTACATCTGACCAAGCCTTGCTTACAAAAGGAAGATCTCTTTTTTTAAATATATCACAACCCAAAAAGCTAATTTCTTAAAACATTTTTACATAGAATAGTCACATTTGTATTTAGCAAAATGAGTGCCCTCCTTTTATTTGGGGGTTTTGATGGAAAAGCATTAAGAGTAGATAATGTTAGTTTATCAAAAATTTGGTTTGGTAGATACCAAAGAGGCTTTGATTGAATTCTCTGTGGCCTGTGCAACTTCCTCTGATAGTTAAACCCTAAGCAGCTCTGATGTTGTGAACCTGCTTCTAGTTAAATTATCCATCCTCACCCCCGCCTTGGTTCTCCCCTTACTTAATTTTTGATGTAATTGATATGCCCAGCCATGGTCTGTGCCTCTCGTCGCAGTTCTGTGACTCATTCCCTGCCAGGGTGCTTAGTCTCTTCCACAGCCACCATCTTGCACAACTGTCTGAAAGGCGGGCTTCCTTGGTGGCCTGTCTGTGGATGGTGCTGGGTCGGTCCTGCCTTCTCCTGGAAGGTGAGTCTTTCCCTTGCCAAGGGCAGCTGCCTTAACCTTTGAGAGTCTGCACTTGGCGTTAGTATTGGGGACCCAGCATCCAGGGGTGGATGTGCTGCTATAGGGAGCCAAGGCTGGCTCAATCAAGGGATCAGAGAAGCAGATGAACATAAGGACAGTTAGTGGCAATTCACTTAACCCTGGTCTAGTTCCACATGAAGGCCATTTGTCTCTAACGTGTTGAAAAGACGCCCAGTTCTGCATCAAACTTGAAAGCTGAAATTGCCATCACTCAGCTGTTCAATTTCACATCAAATTCAGCCCGATTTTCTGTGTGCTTTTTGCAGCCTTTCTCTTTGGATGAAAGAGAATAAAATGACAAGGGCCTCTATCCCCCACCCAAGACCTCAGTCACTTCCCATCTTCCCAGGACCTACCTCACCTCCTGGGACCCTGAGGCAACTCCTTAGGAGGGATCCCCTGGGTTCAAAAGATGCTGGGTCCTGTCCAAGAACTTGCCAAAACAGCCCTGAAGTCACAAGAGCTTTCTGTTGAGGGGCATTGATAATCTGCACATTCTTAACTCTAATTAGCTGGAGAATCTGAATCTTGGGTCCCAGGCAGGGTTCTCATTTCCAAACCTTTCGATTCCCCACCCCCACACCTCTAATGATTGTATCATACTTTTCCACAACCTTTCCATGACATAGTTCAGTTTTTTCTTGGTCATTACAAAAAAAATTCTTTTTTTTTTTTTTTAAACTTGTAAGTCACTGAAAGGGCCTGTTAGGTTAACAGAGACTTTGAGAGGACTGTATTTTTCTTCCATCAGAAGAGAAGGCTTTTCTGTTGTTGGGGGCCACCTCTTTCACCTTGTGACGTTCTGTTTACAGTGACTTGCTTTGGGGGAGGGGGAAGCTTGATCAGCTGATTCCCATGTTGTACAGTAGATGGTTAGACATTTTGTATATTAGTGTGTTTTAAGTTATTGATTTGTTTTATATAAAATAATTTATTTTTCAGGTGCCATTTTTCATTTTAACTTTGTTTTTACATGGGTTTGTTTTCAATAAAGTCTGACACTGCTGTCCAAAAGTCAACAATAAAATGAATCCCATTGTGTTCTTTTAAGGATGCTTATGTAACTAGCTTTTTAAATTATTTTCAGAAAAAAGCCCTTATCAATTCTCCATCTCCCCATTGCCTTTTTTTTTAATGCTTGTGAATAAATGTTCTTTAGTGTTTTAGGAGGAAAAAGCAAACCTAGATTTTGATAATCCAGAAGATTTCAGATTAATAAAGAAGCTTTGAAAGAAGACCATTTTTCAAAATTTTAGTGAAGTGTGAATATTTTTTGTCAATGGCTTTCTCAAAGAGAATGAAACTTTTGCACCATTTTCAGAGTTTTTATAGAGATGCCAAATTGATATATTTACATGTAATGGAAACATGAAAAGTTTTATTAAACAATTGTTCATAGCTGTGTAGACATCTTAATTCAGTTTCCAAAGCGCTCAAAAGCGTATTTTTGAAATACGGAGTGGTACGGTTGGGGGTGTGACCTATGATTCCAAACGACTCGATTGTCCGGACACTCAGTTCTCTCCGCAGGTTTCAGGTTTGTGTTAAACGCTGTACGTTAACCATGACTGGAATTCTGTGATATTTTGGTAATAAATGAAGTGGGATCATTGCGATGTGACGGTGTAGGGGTGATCGTGTGTGACATGAGAGCAGCCCACAGCTGTGTAAGACACCAGGTGACTTTCTCCTTCCTAGATAAGCCTGGGCCAAGCTGTGGCCTTGGCCCTGGGACAGGTAGGAGCCTGCAGACAGCTGGGCCCAGCCTGCGTGTGTTCTGTGACTGGCTCTTCATCACCATTCCTCTCCTGTCCAGAGCCTCTCTCCTCACTCTCCAACAGCCTGTGCTCTTGCAGCCTCTGGGCGTGGCCTGTTGGTCTCTTCCCCACATCTGCCCTCCCTGGCTAAATAGTCTCCCCTCTGAGGATTACCTAGCATGTGACACAGGCAAGCCACTGGCTCTCTGAGTCTCTTTTTCCCTCTGTGAAATGGGTCCATGTTACCCACAGTACCCTTGTGAAGTCAGGAGAGATCCAAGTACGCATCGGTGCTTATCCCAGCTGCTCCAAATCCAGGCAGCTTCTGGGGAGCAGGTCAGGGCTGGGCACAGGCAGCATCAGCCCCCATGTTCCCCAGTTTCTAGGGCTCAGCAAACAGCCATAGACCAGCCTCTTAGTGAGGCATTTATTTACATAGCCTGTTCAAGTCATTGGTTTTTGGTTTTTCTTTCTGTTGTGTATATGTTTTGTTCAGCGTTCATCTTCTCTTCCAGACATAAGTGACTAAATGGCACAATGGCTGTTGGGGAGGCCTTGGAATGTCCAGCACTGGCTGAGGAAGAAGGGTTGCACTCTAGCCAGAGGCCACTCTGGGCATATCTCTGGAGGGCTAAGACCTCAGGGGCAGCCAGCTGGGAATCCTGAGGCCAGTGGATCTCATCCCCTTTGACCCTGTGAAATCAGGGAAGGGGGCCTGGGTGTCAGTGCTGCCAGATGAGTCTGTGTCCACTTCCCCTGCGGCCTCACTGAGAAGCACATCAGGTGTCTCCAGGTCTGGGTGGGCTTGAGAGCCTGTGTTTCTAATGAGTTTCTCAGTGTCTGGGGACCCATCTCGAGAAGCAAGAGGTTTAGGAGAGTAACATGCATGAGACATCAGTTAATGAAACCTGACTGCTCCTTCACCCCCCATTCCCCCTCGAGTCCGATTCCCCTTACCCCAGAATTTGGGAGACCTAGGAGACTCTCAAGCAAGGCCTGAGCAGTAAAGGAGGTGGCCTCTCACCAGCCCCCTCCAGTCTTCCTGCAAAGGAAACAGATGGGACCTCCACCTCACATGGTGGGGTGCTAGGGGTTCACAGGATAGGAGAGGGGCCCCTGGGGACATGGCACTGGGCCAGATGGAACTTGGTAGTTACCATGAGCTCTTTGCTTTACAAAGTACTTTATATCAGCAAGCACATCAGCTATGAGGAAAGTGGTACCATTGTTCATGTGCCCATTTCACAGATGATACACTGACACAGCACACTGGCAAACAGATGCCGTGCCAGTGATACTTTTCCTTTTTCTTATTTACTAGTTTGGCATAGAACAGCCTGAGTTTGTGCCTATGAACT